AGAATACTACGAGGCCTCAGGCATTTATGCTTGGTTCTTAGAATTAGCACACAATAGGGATTATCTGTTTAATTTTGGATTATCCAATTAATAATCGGATAGCAAAAGATGCTCAATTGTTTTTTTGTTGTTGTTTTTTTCACAGAATTTGAACCAGATGAAGCTAAACCTCCTACTTTGGAGTTTTTGTTAGAACATATTTATAGTCAAAGAAGGCTTTTTTTTTTTAACAGTTTTGGCTTACTTATTGCTCTGAGCAATAAGTAAGCAATGTTGTTTCAGCAGATACATGTATGGCTGTTTTTTTGAGTTAATATACTCCCATTAACAATTAATCATTTGCTAAATTAGATGACGATTAGTTCTATAATCAGTTAATCACCATTGATCAGAATGATCATTTCAGCCCTGCTTTTATTGTAGACTTAAAACAAACGTGAGGGAACATTTGGAACCAACATGAACAAAATTCAAAGCAAACATATCTCACCGCTTCCTCGTGCGGGTTCCTCTCTGCCACAGACCATCCTGCTGTCCCCGGACTTCTCCTGTTCCGAGGAGATCCTGAGCATCGTATCTCTGCTGTCGGTGGACACCGTCCTGTACAACCCTCCGGCCCGGCGGGACGAGGTGCTCGCGGCACGCAAGAAGTTCACTTCCAGCGAGGGAGATCACATGACCCTGCTAAACATCTACAGAGCTTTCAAGAAAGTCGGCGGTAACAAGGTGGGCGCGACGAGGAGAAATTCTCCCAAAAATGTCCAGAAAGACCACAGCTAACCCGTTTGAACTGAACCATGTTGTGTTGTAGGAGTGGTGTCGGGAAAACTTTGTCAACAGCAGAAATATGGGCCTGGTGAAAGACGTCCAGGCTCAGCTCAGAGAAATCTGTCTAAAGGTACAAATCTGCTTATCAGAATCGTGTCGAAGAGTTACATTTCAGTAGTATATTTTATTGTTTTTATGTGAACTGTGCGATTCCTGTTTTGTTGTTAAAATAAGATTCCATGTTCAGATTGGGCTTCTAAAATTTCTGTACTTGTAAAATTCAGGAGAAATGTTGTCTGTGAGAAGTCGGACAGATACCAAACAGACCGGCACCCACCCTAGGGATTAAACCGTAATCATGATTAACCACTTGTAGTAACTCACCAGTTGAAAAAATTCTGCCATCACTGTCGCTTTGTCGCGACGCACGTGCCTATAAAAGTTACCATTCTACTATGTCGCCAGAATAGCTTAAATTATGTGAAACATGGTATTAGTAGTAAGCCTCACTTTTCAACTGCTCATGTTTGTCATGTTATGTCTTGGCATTAGTTTTAGCTGCACCTCAGTATGTTATCTATCAAAAGGCTTTACTAATGACACAAAAGTGAAACTCTATTCCAACTGTCAACAGCCCTATAAAGTCAGTTTAAGCTGCCGCTACATCTATGGTGTATGGGAGTGAAGTCAAAGTACACTGACGAAAAAAGGCTCTCTTCTACTATTACCTCTGTAACGGAAGAGAGCGGTGAAGGATTTTATGGAGTTGATAGTATTGAAAGAGGACACACAGACGATGTACAATGGTATAACAACAAATTTTCTTACCTCGGAAACTTTATGCTCACAAACAACGGTTGTGGCTGCATGACAGTGTGGATGCTGACTCCTCTTGCTCAGTTATCCACATGTTGTGAACCGTGTTTTAAAGTTGCCAATTAGTTGTTTCACATCTACTGAAGAGGATTCAGGGAACTGAAAAAAAGAAGAATTCAGACTTTTTTATAAAATGCCAAAATACTGAGATTGATTGCATTGATTAAATTTTTTTTAATCAAGGCATTTTTGAGAAGAAAACAGAAACTGTTTTTACATACACTTTCATGTTACTATTACTCTCATAATGGTGATTCCTTTTTGAGAAACCATGACTAAAAGGCTTTGTTTGTCAGAAAAGTATGTTTTAATGGGATGCATTGTGATGTTTTCTCTCTTTCTCTGAAGGTAAGTCAGGTTTTCCAAGACTAAAATGCGATGAAATTTGTGATCTAACCGTTTTTCATTTTGCTTGGTCAGACCAGGTACTTCATCTTTTGACTTAACAAAGCACTCGTCTTTCCCAGCTCAACCTGAAGCTCGAGTCTTGCGGAGCCGACACAGGGAATGTTCGCCGCTGCCTCGCCCACGGGATGTTCATCAACGCCGCCGAGCTGCAGCCTGACGGAAGCTACCTGGCTCTGGAGACCCACCAGGCCGTCGCCATCCACCCGTCCTCCGTCCTGTTCCAGGCCAAGCCGGCGTACGTGGTCTTCAACGAGCTGCTGCACACGTCCCGCTGCTACATGAGAGACCTGTGTTTGGTCGACGCAGACTGGCTGCTGGACGCCGCGCCGGAGTACTTTGGCCGCAAGCTGCACCTCACCAGGAGCTAACAGGACTGCACTCTTGAATAAATGAGGGACTTGTAAACCTTTTGGGGTCCACTTTTTCCTTGCTGACATTGGACAAGAATGTCTCACTGCAGCTGTACAAATTGGCGTCTGTTGACTTCCTGCAGGCTCCGGCGCCACACGACAACGTTTGTTTTGGGTTTCTTTTTAATGAAATCTGCTTCAGCTCTTTCAGGATCTGCAGGCATTTCAGGGACACAGAAATGCCCTACACAGAAATGCGCTGGTGTAGAGTTGGCAGGAATCAGAAGAGCCAAACTTCTGGACGTCGGCTGCACGTTTCAGTGTAACTGGATTATAGCAATGACTGCCTTCAAAACAATAGCTTGAAGATCAGTGATGTCCTCAACTTTATCAACAGGTAGTTTTAAATTTATAAGGATAGTCCTTGAGAATTTTCTGCAAAGACAGTAAAATGTGTCATCAACTGTTCGACAGATCAAAAATTCACATTTGAATTCAATGAAAATATTTCCTTTTGCTGATTGAATGGCTACGTTGGCTCGTGCATCTAAAACGTATGACATTGCATGTGAGAGGATGTGGCGTGCCTTCTCTCTTCATGCTCTACTCAGTGTGTATTGGGACAGATTGTTACCCAGCCAACACACAGATGATGAGTTACTGTAGCTGCTGAACATCTAATGCATGCAGTGCATGGACATGACGGTAGAAAAAAAAAAATGAAATATAAACTATACGTTTTGTTGAAAAATTTAAATGTAATTTTTTTACTGTGGACTCAGGTTTATACAATATATATATATATATATATATAATATGTGTGTGTATATATAATCTGAAAAAATGCATCAAATTCCAACTGCTGCAGCTAATGTATTTTGAGGTTCCTGCGGATAATTAAAACTGCAGTTTTGTTTTATTTTATTTTGACTGAATTTCTAAGAGATTACTATTACTGTGATGACTGCAACTAGAAATGAAGCTTTTGAGGTTTCAAATACTTCATGTGCATGCATGTAGTTTGTAAGAACAAGTGCAGGTATTGAATGAATTCATAAACTGTCTATTGTATATGATAAGAATTTGTTATAGTCTCGCATTACCAAAGTTGTTTCTAATAAAAAAAAATGGTTTCCACTTGTTCTAAACGCAAGTTTATAATGTGATAGTATTAAATTATGTCCACAAAACAAAATTAACTGAGATACTATTAATTTAGTAATCATATTTAAGATATGAAAACGCATCTTGTAGGAAGTGATGGTACTGTTTTGTGATCAGACACATGACCAAGTTGGAAACATATCAGTTTTAGTGCGAGGAGCCATTCTAGATTAGATTTGTTATTGGATATTTAAGTGACTGATTGCAGGGCCGGCCCAAGGCTCTATGGGGCCCTTAGCGGAATCTGGTTTTGGGGCCATTTAGTTCTGCTAACAATGGACTGGCTGCAATCAGCAGTCCGATCATTAGATCATTCACACACCTGCTATAAACTTACCTCATCTCTGGCAGAGCTGTTTACATTACATACATGTATAATAAGATGCATTTATTGGCCAACTGATTTATCGACCAGTTAATTTCTGGGCACCAATTTCCCTCATTTTGGGGGATCGTGATCAGCCGATACTTACATGTGAAGCTGATCTTATCCCCTGATCTTATCTTCGTCGGCAAAGGTTTAAAAATCAGCCTCTGTCCTCTTCTGCTCTGCAGTGAGAGGTTTGACTGACAGACCAGCCCACCAGGTCTGAACGTTTGCACTAAACAATATTCACCCCACTGTCGCCACACACACACACACATATATATATATATATATATATATATTATATATATATATATGTATATATATATATATATATATACTTTTTTGCTATATCGGTAACCAGGGATCGGCCAGAAAAGTGCAATCGGTGCAGCCCTACTTAAGATGGACACATATTAATGACATTTTTTGATTCAATACATTTCTCTTGCGCGTTACTCCAATAGCTAAAAATAATTAGTACCAGGTGAGTCTTTCTCCCCTGAGAATGTGGGCCGACGGCAGCTCGTTACCGACGAACCATGCGGTACCTACCGCGGCCACCAGGGGCCCCCCAGAGCAATTTATTGGTTTTCTTTTTAGCAGTAAAATAATTTCTTCATACATAATCAAATATATATTATTGCTAAAAACAAATCACTTCGTAGTGAAACTGTGTTTTTTATATTATAATGACAGAGATTATTACAAAAATAAAAAAGCTCCACTGACGGGGCCCCTGAGTAGCTTTGGGGCCCGAAGCGCCTGCTTAGTTTGCTTGTGCCTTGGACCGGCCCTGAGTGACTGAAGCAGAGAATGGTCGAAAATTATGAAACCATCCTGGCGGAGCAGAAGCACCGCTTAATGTAGTATCTATTGTAGCCACAGGGGGCGCTAATTAGATTCTTCTTTTTAAATAAATAGTTTTATTTATTTTGTTTAGGTTTCTCTTTCTTATTTATACGTTGTAAATCGCTGATAGGTTCAGATAAATTTTGGATAAACGGAATATTTTTTAAATCTCTTTTTTTTATCGTTAAAGTATTACTTCCGGTGCAAACGTCAGAGTTAAGCTAGGTCAATGTGTCCTTCCACACGTGTCGCGTGTTTCTTGTAGTGGCAGTGGGAGTCGTGAGGCTCACAGCGGTCTCTTTGGTCTTAGGCGTGATTATCCTGTTTCTAAAAAGGTTCTTACATCCACAAAGCCATGCTGAAATCTGTTGCCCGTGCGGTGGGAGCGGCTGTTCGCCTTTATTCAGTCGCTCCGTCAGCAGCGCGAGCCCTGCCGCTTAGCTACCCGGCGTTGCGCTCTCCAGGCTCGGCGACGATTCGGCCGTTCACCCGCTCACTCTGGATGTTGAATAACAACGGAGCTTCGTCGGGATACAGGCCCAACCTGTTGAGCTCGAAGGTTTTAAATCCGTCAGTGTCGTGTGGATGTGGAGGACTACACACAGAAGGTAACGTTGATGCATTTTATCCATTTAGTGGCGTTAGCCAACCAATTGGCTTTTTAGTTGTGTAGTAAACATTAAACTATGGAGCCTAATTAAATGCCATCTGTGGGGCTCCTAAAAACACGTGAAACGTAACCTGTGTAGTGTTCGTGTCTCATGTAAAGTCTAATAGCATCCTCATGCTAATTAACTGCCTTTTACCTGGAGATTTAAATGTGTTTTTAGCTAGAACTGTTAACGCTTAAAAATGAAAAGTACAGCACTACGTTTACATGGTTTATTACGTGCTAACAGTAAAGTGAGGGTTAAATGTCACTACAAGGACGTCATTGAAATTGATGTAGGGCATCTATAGCATCCTGGATAGACGCGTTGATCAGACTTGTTTTCTAAGGGCACTTGTGTTAGTGTGAATGCAATCATATTTTGATAATTGTAGTAATTTTATGTGCAATGAAAAAGGTCATTCCACTGTTCCTAAATTAACAAATATTTACAACTGTAATTTAATGACATATTTGTGTCATATTTCAATTTTAATACATAGAATTACACAAAAAATATAGAATGACCACAACTTTGCTGTTCTATTTTCAAATACTAGGACTTGGAGTACAACAGCCTTATAGTAGCTGGTCTGTCTTAATTTATCTGTTACGTATTTAAAACAGGTGACAAAGCGTTTGGTGAGTTCCTGTTGGATGAAATCAAGGAAGAGAAGAAGATCCAGAAGAACAAATCTCTCCCCAAGATGTCAGGAGGCTGGGAGCTGGAGATGAACGGCACAGAGGCTAAACTCACAAAACAAGTTTCTGGAGAGAAGTAAGAAGGCCAATATTTCTATTAAATGTCTTTCCACTAAACCAGCTTCATGATTGAACCAGTTTCATGGCTGTTGCATTAATGTAAATGCTGTTGGTTTCTCTATGTCTGCCTCCGCTTTCTGATGAAAGTAGTTCTATCCTCTGACTCAGCCCAATTGGTGCTGTTGGTGGCTGCAGTTTAAAGGAAGAAAAAAACAGAAGTAGGTTTGGGAAAAGTCATTCTTCTAATGTTAATCATGTGCCTTATTTCTTTCCTCCCCTATTATAGAATCACTGTCACATTCAATGTCAACAACAGTATTCCGCCCAACTTTGAGGAGGAGGTGGAGCAGGGACAGCAGCAGAAATCTCCTGAGGATGAGGTGAACCGAATCTTTTTTTTTTTTTTGTCTTCCTGATGTAATAATTGCTGGCTGTTTTTAGATTTCCTTATTCGCCCGAGATGTAGAATGCTATAGATATCTGTGAATATGAACGTTTGCCTCATGACAACTCTGTTTTCATTTTACAGCCAGAAATTGTGTCAACACCCAACTTTGTGATTGAAGTTACAAAACCGGGGGCCAAACACTCCCTGGTGTTTGACTGCCATTTTCCTGAAGATGAGGTAAAAATATTTAAATAAGATTTTTAAAAAGTTGTATTTAACTTAAAAGTTGTTTTTAAGTTAACTTGGGTATTCTTCACAAGTCATGGGAGTTTTAAACTTACATCACAATTGTGTGAAAAGTCTTAAATTCAACCCACTGAATCTTCCAGAAGCCAAGATATTAAGTATCAGTTTTTATTTACTGCTTCTGAATTACAATTTTTTTTGTGTGTGTTGTAGATGAGCCATGGTGAGGGTGAGGAGGAGAGCGATATCTTTGCCATCCGGGAGGTCAGCTTCCAGCCGGAGGGAGAATCAGACTGGAAGGAGACCAGTTACACACTCAACACAGACTCTCTGGACTGGGTATGAGCAGAAACAGTGAACTTCATGCCTGCTGTGCAGCATAGTACGTTGAAAAACATTTATTTCGAGCTGCTGTGTCTGTTTTCAGGCTCTGTATGACCATATGATGGACTTCTTGGCTGACCGCGGGGTCGACAACACCTTTGCTGATGAGCTCACGGAGCTGAGTACAGCCATCGAGCACAAGGAGTACATCAAGTTCCTAGAAGATCTGCAAAGCTTTATTAATTGCAAGTAGTGTCGAACGAGATTGTCATAGTTCTTAGTGTGCAATCTAACAAGGACAGTGGTATGACGCAGTAAAGCACTCGGGGATGGGTGGATCTAAAACCACAAAGAGACTGAGTGGGAATCTTGCCAGCAGCCACTATGTTGCAGTTGCTCTGTTATTATGGCTTAGTTTAAACCAGATCATTCAAATTTGTCTGGACATCATCATGACAGATGTCAGAAACCATCATTGCTCTCGATTCTTGCAGAACCTGACTCTGTGGCTGTGGATATTTAATGTGACCTGATCAGAGTTTTCCTTTAATAGCTTATTTTGTGTTCCGGTCTCCAATCATCATGTCATCATGTCTTCCCCTCCTCGCTGGCCAGGGAACAGAGTTCTTGCTAAGTGGTTGTAGTTTGTCAGATTCAGAAGGTCTGGTAATGGCTGTTCTGTAGTGTTAAGCTGGAAAAACTGTTCAATAAACAATTTGATACCCAAATGTAAATTTAATTTTCTCTATGAACATTTTACATATAACGATATTAGAGGTTGTTCTTCCCACTTGTTTGCCTCGTTGGTGTGTCAGAATAGATCTAGTGATAAATGTTCAACAAGATGAGTAATGCATTTAGATTTTAATTGGAGCTCTTGCCCCTAGATGTCACTATATCCCACATAAAGAACACTGAAAAAAAGGTTCAGGGTAAAAAATTGTTTTGATAGTTTGTCCCTTTTGCCTTTAATCCATTGCAAGAAAACAAAAGGCTAATGTACATTTAAGTAGTGAACATACTAAAAAAGACTTAACCATTAGTTCTACATCAACTTTATTTTGTTGCATTTAGTGTTTTCCTTTCATAGACTCCCTACAATGAATGAGACTGTAGCTTTTATTTTCAGCTGTAGCTCATAATTTATTTATATGTTGAGAATCAGAAAATTTGTGCAAAAAAAATTCAAAACAAAAAAAGCAGGTGAAAGTTTAACAGTTATGTTAAATTTGGAGCACTGAACTAAAGAACCAGTGCATCACACATTGCATGTTTTTGTTTTTTTTATGTTGGAATTATTTATTAGCATAACTATTTGGAAATTATCTTTTTGTAATCAATATATAGACTCCCATAAATTTGTACTTGCAAATGTGTATGCCTACCTACAAATGTTCTGTAATTTGCCTGAATATAAATAATTTTTTGGGGAGGGTTAAACTGAACTGAATTTTATTTTGACTATTTTCTTCAGTAAATTTGAAAATCTGTAATAAATCCAGGTAATTTTTGGAGTTCAGGATTATAAGTTGTAAAGTGACATTCAAATGGCAATATTTGTGTTTATGGTGCCATGCATTTACAGCCATATAAGTATGAGTAATAGTTTCTTTTATCGTTATCGAAGTATCACAAAATATTGCGATTAAATTCAAAGTCCATATCGCCCATTCCCATCGAAATTTCTTCCGGTAAGTCAGAATATGTTATATATACCACTAGACGATATTTCTATTTGACGATATAAGTATCGTTCTATAGACGATTAGATTTTATTTTTTTTCCAGCTCTGCCAAAAATAGACCGCATAGCTCTGCAGGTCCGAATTTGAGACGCTGTTTTGAACCTGACTAATAATTAATGCCGCAGCATTTTGGACCCTTTCCTCCTGAAAGATCCTCCTGGTTGTTTTTCGCGGCGAGACTTTGCGGATCAGGAAGTTGACACGCCGACAGCAGTGTGCTCTGACAGTGCCGCGCTCCCCACCCAGCACGCGGAGGTGTGCGGTCGCCGCCGCTTGCTGGAAGGACTCCGCCCTCTGCAGGTAAGAGTCGTCCAGCGCCAGCCGGAGGGGGAGAGAGAGGAGACCCGCGGAGCCGCTGCGGCGCCATGGCGAGAAACGGCAGCGTGTGCGCGGCCGCGCGGAGCCAGCTGCAGGACTCCTCCGAGTCGGACTCGGAGCCGGAGGGGGGTCCTGCTCGCCCGGCGGGAGTCGAGCCCACGCCCGGCTCCTTCGCCCGCACCCAGGTGATCCACAGCGGACACTTCATGGTGTCGTCGCCGCACAGCGACTCGGCGGCGCGCCGCAGGAAGAGCGGCGGCTCGCAGCGGTACGACTTCGACACGGTGAACCGGACGTGGTGCCAGACCTACCGGTACCACTCCGGGAGCCTGAGCATCGACCCCACTCTCACCCGGCTGTTCGAGTGCATGTCTCTGGCTTACAGGTGAGTTCTGCAGCCCGGTCAACAACTAACCTGAGCTCACAGTTTAGTCACCATAGAAAAGCGTTTTTTGTTTTGTGCACTTTAGTGCTGAATCTGACATAACATGAAAGCACCCGCTTCATTAACATGCATTCTCCGTTTTAAATTTCATTCTTCCACTGAAATAAAGAAAGTATTCTGGAGACTAAAAATTACTCCAAGCTTTATTACAAATGCATCAAAGCCCCTCGAGCAGCCTGCAGTCAAGAAAGTCTGCATAAAAGTCTGTTTTCCAATAGATTTTTCCCTTTCAAACTGATAACTGAGGCTTGCGTCTCTTACACAACAGCCTGGAAAGTCTTGACTGTAAACTGGACTTTGAATCCAGTTGGCAGGAATGGAAAGATTACAAAGGGGAAAAGGTCACGCAAAGAAGGCCCACTGCCCTTTATGTCCTTTATTTTTCTTTGATTAAGGCTCCCAACTGCTTGTTTGAAGATGCAGCTACATATTAAAGTCACTAACAAAAGAAATTCAGCTGATCTTTTGCAGGAAATGTGAAACTCCACACATAGATTGACTCCAAAAGCTTAAATGTTCCAGAAAATCAACCGCAATGTGTGATATGTTCAGTCTGTTCGCTCTCCTGCACACAAAGCAGATGAAATTAGTTTTCAGAAAATAACTTGCAGACATTTTAACCCACTAAAAGCACGTTGATAATGATTCGCTGGACTTCCTAGCAACACCTGGAGCACCTCACATTAGCAGTCCTCTTCTCAGCTCTCTGCAGGCAGACGGATCTCAGAGAGAGAGAAAAAAAAAGAAAGGCAAACATCCTGTCTGAGTACCGAGAAAGCAGTCAATCGGTTGCTATTAGTCAAATTCAGGACAGGTTTTCCGCAGGGGGCGAAACAGTCAGGCAATAATTTGTTTTTCAGCATTCTTCTTCTTTAAGATGTAACTCATGTTTCACTTTTTTTCTTCTTTTTTTTTGTTTGCTCCTCCACAGTGGGAAAATAGTCTCTCCCAAATGGAAGTCGTTCAAGGGTCTGCGCTTGCTTTGGAGGGATAAGATCCGTCTGAACAACGCAATATGGAGAGCATGGTTCATTCAGTGTGAGTCTGCGTGTCCTCTCTTCCGCTCCCGCCTGCTGCTCGTTATAAAGTGTGAGATTAGGAAAATAAGAGCGGAGCGACCGTCTGACACATAGCTGCGAAAAGCGATTTCCTGTTTTCCATTTTATTTATACCCTTTTGGCTTTTTTGCTTTACCGTGGATGACTTTTGGCCCATTTAATTCAGTCACATTGGAAATTTGCCACATTTCCAACACAAGCAGTCTGTTTAAGATGGAGATACACTGATTCAATATTAATATCGGTATCGGTCCCAATATTAAAAAAGATAGATCTATTCAGTCTAATTCTACACTTTGTGCTCTGAGTGATGTCATGCTTTACTTATTTTACATAATATTTAGAATTCTTAAATGAACTTTCTGAACCATTTGAAAGGTTTTCTGCAGTTTATTTGTACATGTTTGACCAAGATAGTTAATCGACTAAATAATCCCTTTTGTCATTATTTATTTTACATAGGCTGTTATGCTACTGTTTCTACTGACTGAACAAATTAAATTAGTTTTTACATGTTTGAGTCGCTATTGGTGTATTTAAATGTGCTGTATTGGTGGAGGTTTATCAAATAATTTTTTATTCTGTTCATTTATGTTTGTGTTAAAAAAAAGAAGTTTTAAGTCAATTCAGCACTGTTTTTCTGTATCGGATTGGTATCAGCCGATACTAAATCTCAGATATTGGTATCGGGAGAGAAAAAAGTGAATCGGTGTATCAATAGTTTAAGAACACGCCGCAGCGCCTCATCTGAATTATGACAAGGCCGCTGGCTGGTATAAAATCCTCTTCAGTGTTATTGATATGAAAACTGTTTCAATGCTCTATACGGGCTGCCAGTATAAAGCACACTTTTACCTACCTTTTAAAATGCTGCCTCTCCTTTTCATAATAAAACATTGTCACAACCTTGCAGAGTCTTAACAATGTTTCTAAATCATTCTTAATTTCACTCAGAACCCTGAACGTCCCCGGAATGTGTGTGGAATGTTGCCTTTGTGTTCTGTGAAATGCATGAGGTGTTGCATAAACGGTGTTGCCTTTAAATTTCTGCTGGACGTCACTTGCATCAATGCTGCAAACAAGTCACAGAGCCACACGGACTGTCATGCCTCAGCTCTATCACTTAGCCTAATTTGTTAAAAATAAAAATTTAGCTCTCTCTCTCAGACTGGTGGCGTTAGATTAAAAAAAAAAAAAAAGGTAGATGGGTATAAAGATTAAACTTATGGATTTTTCTGACACGATGGCAATCTATAACTTTCAAGCAAATCTTAAAATTATTGACTGACTGTGAGTTTAGCGGGAGAGCTTTTTGTTTCTTGGCTTTGCTGTGACTGTCGGGCTGAAAGTTGACGTTTGATTTATAGAGGATTCCGCCGCCTGCAGGTCGGACCGGAATCTCTTTTCTCTTGGAGTAAAAAATAGTTCCTCGGTCTGCACCTTTCAGAAAAAAAGGTTCATGAGTTCGAATCCCATAATGTTTTTGGTTCTTACCAGAATGCACATAAATGTCTTTTTGACAGTACAATGCTGGTTCAGTCAGGCTAAAACAATAAACCTGCTCTGCATCTTTGACCCTCAGATGTGGAGAAGAGGAAGAACCCGGTGTGCGGGTTCGTCACGCCGCTGGAAGGCTCCGAGGCAGAAGCTCACCGAAAGCCTGAGGTGAGCGATTCAAATGCATGTCGAGTCGTGGCTCGCTTTCCGTCTCTGTTAAACCGCGGCTTTCTCCGGTGTTGGAACAACAGGCAATCATTTTGGAGGGCAGCTACTGGAAGAGGAGGATTGAAGTGGTGATAAAGGAGTACCACAAGTGGAGGATTTATTACAAGAAAAGGGTGAGTGTGAGTCGGCTCCACGTGTTTCAATGCTTTTGTCCTAAATTGTACTCGGTTATCAGGATGTAATAGAGTAAACACAAGCCTGCAGAGGTGATACAATCATGGGATCACGGCATCTGAATATGTTTTGACTAGGACCTTACCAGTTTTGACCGTCTTGTTTTGGGTTGTTGTCAAACTGCGATTTCCAGTTTGATAGTTTCACAGATGGCCTTATATTTTCCAGAATATGACGGCAAAAGGGATCAGGTCCTTTTGCAGCAAAACGTCCCCGCACCATGACACTTCCATCTCTGTGCACCAGAGTTAGAATGAGGTTGTTTTCCTGGAATGCTCTATTTATTTAGCATTCTCAATTTTTATTTTCAGATTTCTCAGTTCTGAATGGAAAAAAATTAAAGCAAAATTTGAAATAGCCACCAGGCTATTTAAGTATTTTCCCTCCATATTATTTGCTCTGCAGGAAAGTTTGTCTGCTTCCCCTGCCATTAAAGAATTGAAAAGTGTCAACTTTTTCGTTTGTTGTGTTGACTGTCTGACTCACTTGTTGTAAATCAGACTGTAACGCTTCTCTGTTTCTGTTTTGCAGCTTCAGAAGAAGAAGGATGACATCCTGTCAATGCTGCAGGAGGTATGTGATCTGATCTGACAAGTCATTCTTGCTCCTGTGTATCTTTCTGTTTGTCTTGGAAGTGCATCAAGGTAGTGGACCAGGTAAGGCAGCGGACTGGCTGCCTGACCTGGTCCGCTTTGTGTGGGCCGGTGACCTGCTTCGTTATTATTCACACCTGAATGCATTATAAGAACATGAGGAACGAGTCTCCCTCTGTTAACTAGATAGAAAGTAGAAAAAAGGATCTGCAGGGCAAAAAAAACAACAAACACTTGAGCCGTGCGTCATCGCCTGACATTTATAGGTAATTGACACAGTGATTAGGGGGGTTTTAATCTTCATTCAAGTGAAATTGCTTCGAAATGTAATTTCTTTTTTTTTTTTTTTTTAATCTGACCTACTTGCAGCAGGGCTTTTGTCAGAGTTAAGCAGCAGAGGTGCTGTGTGTTTGTTCGTGACGCCATAGGATGCAGAAACCCAAAGTAATTCGGCCAAGGCAGCAAAGAAGCAGGAGGGAACCTCATGAATGACGGCT